ACAGTAAATACTTTAGAGAATCATTAAGAGGTATTAAATAAATTAGTATATGAATTATTTAGAATAGAATCTGGCATTTAATAAACACTGAAAAAAAATCAGCAATTCTTATGATAGACCAATGAACAATGACAGCACCTTCAGATAAAAATGCATTATTAAGGGCGACAAGCCTTAATTATGATACAATTCTACAGGTGCTATTCTGGCTGTTGGGATGAAGCTATTTTTCTACTTACATTAAAGTCACATTTGAAGAAACTTCTGGGACAGCTCGCAAGTTGGTTTCATCACAGTTTAGGTCTAGATCTCGGCAAAGACATTGCAGGGGCACAGAACTGATCACTGAATAAAGAGAAGAAGTAAGGATAGGAAAAAGAGGTCAATGAGAAGAAAGAAAAAAAAGCTATAGTGTTGATATAATGTGTGTGTGTGTTTTCCCCCTCTTTTCTGAATATTCAAGAGATCTTCAAAGACTTTAATGGACTTGCAATTTTCTAATTTTCCTTTGACTTATGTAGGGGTGTAAGGATATGTGAAAGTTGATTAATGGGGATGAGCATTTCTTCTGCACATGCCTGGTTCTAGGAAGAGGAAGCAGGGGATATATGTCTTTGGTTATCGTCTGGGGCTGTGGTGACAGTCTTAGGGAAGTGCTTCAACATTTATAAAGTACAGTCCCTTGGTATTGATGGATTGATTTCAGGACCACCCTGATACCCAAATCCTTGGATGCCCAAGTTCCTTATATAAAATGGCATAGTATTTGGATGTAACCTACACACATTCTCCTGTGTGTTTTAAATCATTTCCAGATTACTTATAATATCTAACGGGGGCTCTGGTGGCAAAGTGTCTAAGGCATTTGACTGCTAACCAGAAGGCTGGCAGTTCAAACCCACCAGCCCCTCCTGGGAAGGAAGAATAGGCAATCTACTTCCATAGAGATACCGTCTTGGAACCCAAGGAGGGGTCGGTATGGGTCCAAACCGACTTGACGGCGGTGAGTTTTTTTTTTTTTTTAAATCTTAATAATAGCTAATACAATATGAATGCTATGTAAATGGCACTTTATGTTCCCTCAGGCTTTGAGGCTTGTTTTTAAGTATTTAATTGCTTTTTGGGAGCCATTTCCCCACCCCAGCCCCCGAATATTTTCAATCTGTAGTTGGTTGAATCTGCGGACCTGGAACCTGCAGGCTAAATATACACTAGATGCTCTCAAGGATGTGGTTATAGAGTTAAACAGTGTAAAGGGATTGTTACTTACCCACCATCTGCTCAACAGGTAAAAGATATGGCAACCTGCTTCTTGAAAGATTTACAGCCTTGGAAACCTTATGGGGCAGTTCTACTCCATTATATAGGGTTGCTATGAGTTGGAATCCATACAAAGCCAAAGGGTTTTGGATTTTGGTATAATAAATATAAGGAGCCCTGGTGGCACAATGGTTAAGAGCTGGGCTGTTAATCAAAAGTTGGTGGTTCAAACCCACCCATAGCTACATGGGAGTAAAGATCTGGAGCTCTCATCCCAGGGATTACATCTTTGAAAACGCTATTGGATTTTCTTCTCTGATACATGGGGTCACCATGAGTTGAAAATCAACTGGAGAGCACCTAAAAGCAACATGATAAATATAGTCTTATTCTTGCCTTAACTGAGATATCTTAGTCTCCTATTTATCTGCTACATATAGAACAGGGACCATTTGTAGCCAAGTCTATCAACCTTATAAAATTCAGAAGTAAAAGAAAATAATGTATACTTACCTATTTTAAAAAATAATAATAGTTAATTTTTGAAGTGTTACAAAACATCTTAGAATAACAAAACTTTCTATGACATTGTTCTGCTTTTAGGCTTCCAGGTTTTGAACATTATGGTAAAACTTCTGGAAAGTAGTCAAGTGACTCAATGGTGAAGTAGAGACCCTTGTAACAGACTGGTGGCACAACTGTTAATGAGCACAGTTGGCTACAGACTGGGAGCTAATAAAATGTTCCTTTGCTCAGATATGGGGTTGACAGATGTGTTTTCTCTCCTCCCACAGAATTCTACAGACTGTTTTATAAGGTTTTAAGAGATCAAGATCAGATTTTATATTTTATGTAAACAGAGTATCTGCCAAAAACTTTCAAACAGTTTTGTGGCTGTAAGTACCCATTTTGGCAATGTAACTATCAACATGAATCTGTCTCTAAGTTCAAGTTAAGAAGCTGTTGTAGTGCTGTGGTTAAAACACTGGACTGGTAACCAAAAGTTCAGTGGTTCAAATCCACAAACTGCCATGGGAGAAAGACAAGGCAGTCTGTCTCCATGAAGATTTACAACCTTGGTAACCATATGGGACAGTTCTTCTCTGTCCTATAGAGTCACTATGAGTCAGAGTCAACTCCATGGCAGTGAGTTTAGTTTAAGTTAAAGTCATGTCTAGTAAGTGAATGTGTGTATCTGCTGTGGACATGGTATGGTGAGGGTTGGGAAGGAAGTGGGTGAGAGTAGGAAGAGCAGAAAGGGAATTAATGTAAAAATAACATTAATTCCAGTGTGCATTTTCCATTTATATAGGCTGAATTAAAACAATCCATATTTGTTGATTAGTGTGTTGTCTGTAATAGAGAAAAATGGAAAAATACACCTAAATATCCAAAAACAGAAGAAGGATTAAGTATATTGTGTTACTTATAAGATATGTAATATTATATAGAATATTTTAAAAGAGTTTGTAATAGCATATCTGATTCTGCTAAAATGCTAATTGGAAATATGATAACAATTTTTACAAGATTTTTCACCTACATTCAAAAAACTCAAGAAACTGAAAGATGGATGTTGTGGATTGAATTGTGTTCCACAAAATCTGTGTTATAAATCCTAATCCCTGTATACCTGTAGTTATAATCTCCTTTAGGAATAAGCTTGCTTTCTTATGTTACTAAGACAATATTCATGTAAGGTGTGTCTTAAGTCAAACTTTTTTGAGATATAAAAGCAGATTAAGCAAGCAAGCACAAATGGTGGTCGGGGGAGATATATGTCATGCCACATGAAGATTCCCAAGAAACCAAGGACCAAAGCTAAAGAGAAACAAGAACCTCTCCCCAGAACTGGCACAGAGAAAGTTTCCCTTAGAGCCAACACTCTGAATTTGGACTTCTAGCTATCTAAAATGTGAGAAAATGAATTTCTGCTTGGTAAAGTAACCTACTTGTGGTATTTTTGTTATACCAGCACTAGGTAACTACTAAGTCAGAATTTTGTACTAGATATTGGGGTGCTGCTCTAATAAATACTTAAAATGTTCAAGTACTTTTGGAATTGGGTAATGGGGGGAGGCTGGAAGAGTTTTAAGGTATCTAATTGTGAAAATGGTTGCAGCAGCATATTGACAGGAACTTCCAGAAAGGCAAGCTGGATTCAGAAGAGGACGTGGAACAAAGGATGTCATTGTTGATGTCAGATGGGGTCTTGGCTAAATGCAAAGAATACCAGAAAAATGTTTACTTGTGTTTTATTGACTATGCAAAGACATTTGACTGTGTGGATCATAACAAATTATGGATAACATTGGGAAGAATGGGCATTCCAGAACACTTAATTGTGCTCATGAGAAACCTGTATGTAGACAAGGAGGCTGTTGTTTGAACAGAAAAAGGGAAGACTGCATGGTTTAAAATCAGGAAGATTGTACAGCAGGGATGTATCCTTTCACCATACTTATTCAATCTGTATGCTGAGAAGACAATCTGAGAAGCTGGACTGTATGAAGAAGTATGTGGCATCAAGATTAGAGGAAGACTCATTAACAACCTGTAATATGCAGACAACACAACCTTGCTTGCTGAAGGTGAAGATGACTTGAAGCACTTACTGATGAAGATTAAAGACTACAGTCTGCAATATGGATTATAATTCAACATAAAGAAAACAAAAATCCTCACTACTGGACTAATAAGCAGTATCATGATTAATGGAGAAAAGATTGAAGTTGTCAACGATTTCATATTACTTGGATTAACAATCAACACCCATGGAAGTAGCAGTCAAGAAAACAGACGTCATAATGCACTGGGCAAATCTGCTGCAAAAGACTTCTTTAAAGTGTTGAAGAGCAAAGATGTCACTTTGAAGACAAGGTGCCCGTCACCCAAACCATGGTATTTTCAATTGCTTTACATGCATGTGAAAGCTGGACAATGAATAAAGAAGACAGAAGAAGAGTTAATGCTTTTGAGTTGTGGTGTTGGCAAAAAAAACTGAAAGTTCCATGGACTGCCAGGAGAACAAATGAATTTGTCTTGGAGGAAGTGTGGCTGAATGCTCCTTGGAGGTGAGAAGGGTCTGACTTTGTCCCACCTACGTTGGTCATGTTGTCAGAAGAGACCATTCCCTGGAGAAGGATATCATGCTTTATAAAGTGGAGGGTCAATTTAAAAGGGGAAGGCCATTGATAAGATGGATTGACACAGTGGCTACAATGATGGGTACAAGTATAGTAAGGATTGTGAAGATGGCGTATGAACACGCAGTGTTATATTCTGTTGTGACTCATAATGAGTCAGAGTCAACTCAGTGGCATGTAACAACAACAGCAACAATTGTAAAAGTCTAGATTGTCTTGAAGAGATTTTTGGTAGAATTGTGGATGTGAAGGGTGATTCTGATGAGAGCTCAGAAAAAAGTGAGGAGAGCCATAAAGAAAGTCTCTATTGTCTTAGGACCTCTGGTAGCATAGTGCCTAAGGCACTTGACTGCTAACCAGAAGGCTGGCAGTTCAAACCCACCAGACACTCCTCAGAAGGAAGGTTGGGCAATCTACTTCTGCAGTGACACTGCCTCAGAAACCCAACGAAGGGTCATTATGTGTTGGGTCCGACTCGACGGCACATAACAACAACAACATTGTCTTACAGAATATATATGGCACCATCAAAATCTAGCAACACTGTTACTAGAAATGTGGACATTAAATGTGCTTCTGGTAAAGCTTGAAAAGGGTATGATTAACACGTGATTGGATGATGGAGGAAGGGTGATGCTTTTTATACATTGGAAATGAACTTGTCCTAATTATTTCCAAATGTTTAGAGGAAGGTAGAATTTTTAACTGATGACTTGGATATTTGGCTGAGGAATTTTCTAAGCAAGATCTTAAAGTGGCTGTATGGTTTCTCCTTGCCACTTATGGTAAAATACCAAAAGTAAGAGATAGAGTTATAAATGTACTGAGCAAAATGAAAACAAAACTTAAAGATTTGGAAAATTCTATTACACAAACTAAGGATATGTGTCCTAGAACTTTCACTAAGGATGTGGTTACACAATCTTTTGTTAAAGAAAT